TGACAGTAACATCAGTGCGGACGGAGCTGCAGCAGCGTCTGGGGTCATGGCCGGGGGTGCTGAGTGTTCGGGGGCCGGTGAGCCGCAGAGAACCCGTGCTGCTCTGGAGCACCTGCAGCAGAAGATATTGAAGGTCACTGAGCAGATCCGTGTGGAGCAGGAGGCCCGGGACGACAACGTTGCAGAGTACCTGAAGTTGGCACACAACGCAGACAAACAGCAGGCGTCCAGAATCAAGCAGGTGTTTGAGAAGAAGAACCAGAAGTCAGCTCAGACCATTGCGCACTTGCACAAGAAACTAGAGCACTATCACAAGAAGCTAAAGGAGATAGAACAGGTAGGTGAGCAAGAGTGCAGTTAGTTCGTATGTGAACGTGTGATGTCTTCATGCGGAGATGTTTTTGTGGCGTTTTGAATAATTATCTCATGACTGAGGACAGTTATGTCCAAGTAAAGACTGATGATTCTCATCTCCTAACACTTATTTAAACCAATGCATCATCCTGTGTCTCACCTAATTCTCTACAGGGCCTGCTTTCCTCATCTATCTTCCTACAGTTCTCTCCCTTAAACCTAATCACCTCTCTCCTACCTTTGAGATCCTCCACTTCTCTGCTTCCTCATTTCTCTTCCCTCTCTACAGAATGGACCAGCCCGGCAGCCTAAGGATGTCCTGCGGGACATGCAGCAGGGATTGAAGGACGTTGGGGCCAATGTTCGTGCTGGGATAAGTGGTTTTGGAGGTGGAGTAGTCATAGGAGTCAAAGGTGGAGTATCCGCCCTCACCCACACAGCCGTGGTCTCCAAGCCAAGAGAGTTTGCCAGTCTAATCAGGAACAAGTTTGGCAGCGCAGATAACATTGCTCACTTAAAGGACACACTCGAAGACGGAGTCGGGGGACACTCTGAGGACGCCCCCACACCTCGTGCCCTGAGTGGAAGTGCCACTCTGGTCTCCAGCCCAAAGTACGGCAGCGACGACGAGTGCTCCAGCGCCACGTCTGGCTCCGGAGCAGGCAGTAATTCTGGTGGGGCAGGGGGAGGAGGAGGGTTATTAGGACCAACCATGGGGAGTCCCAGATTGGACGGGCACCACCACCACCACCATCACATGCACAGCTCTTGGGACTCTCTACTCGAAGGCCTGCAGGAGATCAAGGCCAGCCAGGCACATATGGAGGATGCTATTGATGACATGAAGGGCCAGCTGCAGAGTGACTACTCCTACATGACACAGTGCCTGCAAGAAGAGAGATACAGGTACACATCCAAAATAAAACACACGTATGAACATAAAAGGTGTAAACTAACAGCACAGAATTTCATCGCTCAAGTCCCTTTTTTCCAACTGAAAAATGTAAATCTTATATACTTGAAGAAATATTAACTTCCATTCACAGCTGGGGCTCTGTAGTCTTTGCCAAACTTTATTCAAACAGGAGTTAATAGTAAATTTGTATAAAAACAAATACAAAATAAAGTTCCTATTATCATCGTAATATCACCAAACCTTTTGTGATGTGCTTTTAATAGTTAATCATACCCTTTTTTCACAGCCACCATAGTTTCTCCTACACACACACTCCCGTTCTCATTCCCATGTCATCAAATACACACACGAACGGTGTTCAGTTAGTTGCAATCTGAAACTTCACTGCTAGACGCCACTAAATCCTAGACACTGGACCTTTAAGAGTTGAAGTTTAAATTTTTCATGATGTTTTGCATTACTTTAAGGATTCTTGTGTGTATTTTGTACTGTGTATTCAGGTATGAGCGACTTGAAGAACAGTTGAATGATTTAACAGAGCTGCACCAGAATGAGATGACTAACCTGAAACAGGAACTCGCCAGCATGGAGGAAAAAGTCGCCTACCAGTCCTATGAGAGAGCGAGGGACATTCAGGTAAAGATCCTTAAAACCCCTGAAAACCAGGCTTCAAATCTTTTTCTATGATAAATATATATTCATAAATAAATGTTAAAGTTAATTATTTTTAATTGAGATTAAAATGCCAAACAACCCACCCACTGTCACTGGAGTTTCTATCTCCTGATTGGTGCACTGTGTACATGACATTACACTGTTCCACCTGAGCCCCGCCTACTTCAGGCTACTTCAAGAAAACACAAATACAGAAACCTCTCATGTGAAATAACCAAAACTGTTGTAACTCATACAGAAAATGTATGTTCATGTCGGACCCCGCCGCTCATAGTAAAAAGCTTATTGAGAAAATACGTTTTCAGGGCCTTTAAATAAGCCCACTGTGGTTTCTGTGTGTGTGTGTGTGTGTGTGTTCGTACGTACAGGAGGCTGTAGAGTCGTGCCTGACCCGCATCACCAAGCTGGAGCTGCAGCAGCAACAGCAGCAGGTCGTCCAGCTGGAGGGAGTGGAGAACGCCAATGCTCGAGCTCTGCTGGGCAAACTCATCAACGTCATCCTGGCCCTCATGGCCGTGCTGTTGGTCTTTGTCTCCACCTTGGCAAACTTCATCACCCCGCTGATGAAGACCCGAGCCCGGGTGGCCGCCACCGTCCTGCTGACCTTGCTGCTGTTCATCCTGTGGAAGCAGTGGGACTTTGTGGAGCCGTGGCTGCTGCCCAGCTGAGCTCCCTGCACAAGAGAGACTCCAGAGGGGACCAAAGCAGAGAAGCTGGTTTTCAACTCTGAAATAGAAAGAGAGTCACTGCACTTGTTCCCTTTGAGTGTAAAGGTGGAACATCTGAGGACAAAACATAGCACTTTTGGTTGGAGGAGAGGACAGGAACCGGCCGGCGGAGAGTGTTGAGAGGAGTTTACAGTGAGAAAGAACAGAAACTCTATGCTTGACAAGCGACAAAAGACATTATCTCATCTCGCCCAAACCTATTGGTGTTGATGACCAATCATCGATTGCATTGCTGTCACCAAAAAACTGAGTTTCTTGCAAGAAAATCTTTGGATCATCTTTTTCTAATTATTTATTATACATGAATTACAAAGTCTAGAACAACTTATAATGACTTTTAAAATGCTGATCATGTTCGCTGTAACCTTCATGTTGAAGCTATAGTATATGTGGGAGGAAAAGGTTTTTTTCATGAATGTTATGTGCTCATGCATGTCCTCATATGTGCACTAAGATGCATCTAGCTGGCATGAGTTAACATTTCATTAATGACAAAATGAATCTTCTATAACTGCCATTTTGTTGTCAGAAATACAGTGCAGATATGTTACATCTCAACATTCCTGGTTTGTTTCACACCCCGTTCTGGTGTTGAAGCAGTGCTTTTAGATGCATTTCTATCTTTTCTTGTCTTTTTCTTGAAGTCGAATGAACTGTTTTAAAAAAAGAAAGAAGAAAAAAAAAGCTGATATCTGCAACAAATTCACCTTAATAATTCAACTACGTAAAATCTGTTCTGTCCATAAATGCTATTTCATAATCACTATTGTAGAACTGCTACTATCCACAGTGTCAAATTAACTGGCATGTCAAATTGTATCAAAGTTTATATCCAGTTTGCAAAAAATAATTATTGCTGTTTTATTAAACAATGTAAGAAATAAATGATTTCATATATTAGGCTGACCTTGAATATATCCTCATCATCCTTTTGCTATGGTTGAACGTTTTCATGGAAATGCTTTTAGACTGGTTCAGAGATCAGCACCTTCCGTCACATAAGATATTGTAATACTGACACCAACTTTATAATAAGGGACCCTTTATATGTGTTTATACGTTTTAACTAGTGGCTTTATTATTAAGATTTTATAAAATATGTTCTAAAGCAATATAAATCTGTTTTAATACATTAATCTGAGCAACTTTTGTGAAAAATTCCTTTGACTGATGGTTTAACCATTTACCAATTAAATACAAGACCTGCAAAGGTTCGGGACCAAAATGTATTTAACAACTTATTAAGTATTTATTAAATGATTACCAACATCCACAACCACAGGATTAAATAATAGAGAGAACAAACACCAGTCAAAAGGATTTTTTACAACCTGGCAACCCAACATTAGTTTTCATTAATGTCTTATTGTTGCTCTATGAAGTATGAGTAAATGATTTCTTTACCACTAATAAAGCCATTGGTTACAACTTACAAACCCTTCTTAAACAGTTTCTTATTAGACAGTGGTGCTGAATTAATAATAATACTTTGAAATCTGAACTTCTTATCACTTTCACACTTAATATTTAAAATAAATGAAGCTGCTGATTTTACGGCCTGATATAAGTTATATTACTGTTTCATATCTCAGTATGAACGCAGCCATCATATGCTTCAGTATTTAGTCCTGACAGAACTTTTGAGGACACAGTTATACAGCAGTTAGCTATAATGCTAAGCTATTTTAAAAGAAGAGTCATAAAGTCGGTAAAACTCATAGTTCACTGACAGAATTAATCAAATCTGGCAAACAAAACATTGTGGTTGATGTTGGACTTTCCAGATATTTAAATCATTTGCATTCAGGACTTAATTTTTTTTTTTTTATTGAAAAGCTGTAACATTTATGCAACAGAATAAACTCACCACGCTACATCAGTGAGAAAAATGGGATCGGGAAGCAGTTCAGTGCTAAGAAGAGAAATAATCTTCAGAGATTATTTACATTTAATGCCCTCTCATCAGCAGCCTCTTTGCCTGGACCAGATTACATTTATTCTTGGTTGCAAATCTTTAAGGAAGCATTAGAGAAGCAGAATTAGGATAGGACGTGTAGCCATCTGCTAAACCTGTGGATTATATCAGCTGTACTTCACTGTATCTATTTCTGTTATGATGCTAAATGAGTGAATATGATTGCAAACACATTTTTCCAGACTCCATTAATGTACACTGAACACATACAGTATGTATCCTCCTATAATGCTGCTATTACCGGAGATGTTGCAGGCACTGTGGTAGTTAAGCTACATACATCATCCTGAATCCTCCTGTGCCTTTTAATGCATTTTAAAAAGGTTGCTCTCGAATGAAAACAACATTCAAATTTGCTTTGTCTTTTTAATAATTACTGTCAGGCAAAACCCATATGACCATTACATTTATGACAGGTATTCTTACAGTACAAGACAGAACTCAAGGGGATCAGAGCCAGTGGCATGGCCACACCTGACCACTAAAAAGTAAGACATTCATCGTCATTAGATTGTTCCAACTTTTACATAAGAGTTCACAAATGTATTTTGCATTTGACTCGTATCAAACACAACAGTTTTTCTTGATTACCTAGCAAATTCTAAAGACCTTGATAGAAACAGCAGAGTAGAAAAAAACATTGTATAACAAGCAGAAGAATTCCTGATTTTATCTTTCCTGTCAAGATGCAAGATGTACAATATATTGCTTTCAGGTGCTCAACTCAAAATGGGTACCCCAAGTCTCCAAAAAACACATTCTTCAGTATCGCAGTCTGCCCACTTCACTCACTTTTTCCATCTCCTGCAGTTCAAACACAGGCGCAGTGTCTCCGACCCGGGCTCAGACTAGTCTAACCGTTAACACCACAGGGGGAGCTGCCATTTAAAGAAGATACAGGAGCTAGAAGATGAACAATCACAAAGATAGGACCAACAATATTAGCCCCTCCTCAAAAGTGCAGCTTTCCGTCACTCATCGTCAATCAAAAGTGTCTGAAACTCGTACTTTTTGCTTCCTTTCATGGAAGTGAAACATAGAATGACTACAAAATAAACTAAAACAAAAACTATTCTTGTTCACTGAGAGCGCAGGACACAGTATCCAGTCATAGCAGTACACTTGAGGAGAGGACATGATGAAATACAAATGACACAGGGATGAGTATTAAAAGTTTCCAGGAGTGACATTTCACAATAATCAAAAAGCTGAACAGGAGGCAACACAGAGTCTGGACTTCAGTCGGTTCTGTTTGTAGATCCAAAGTGGAACTATACAATGATGTTGGAAGATGTACCTCAAACGCACATGAGCAACATTATTGTAATAAAATGCTCCAAAATCCATAATCTGTGTTGCCTTTGAATGTAAAATGCAGTCTCAGGAGAGTGCCTGGTTGGTTCCAGACTCAACAGACATGAGCCTGATTGTTTTATTAAAAACATGGACACACATCTTGGTGTTCAGCAGGACAGAGTCGGACCTGCTCCCACAGTCTTCAGGCCATTAACCAATATGCTGGTCCCACAGGCTCGGAAACCTGTGGCCTCATTTATGAAAAGGTTTTTGATTTATTTTTATTTTTTTATATAATCAAAAGACATCTATTAGAACTTTTTAAATCAAATTCACCTATTATTTTCCTTGGCAACATCACAGTATACAGATAACTTTATTATCATCTTTCTCATCCAGATTATGCTGCTAAAATTTTCACCTTGACTCATGATCGTGACTGTCCTACTGCCCTCATTGTCATCTTTTTTTAGTAAATCATTTCAAAGTGATTGTTTAATGACATCTGGGAAAACATCAGAGAACATTTTCATAAATGCAGCCTTTAGTTGCCGTGTACAGGTCGAGATCACAGCGAGAGGTACCTAGGCAGACCTCTGGGTATAGAAGAGAATATAGGCCTGAGTGTTGCACACTTCTTCCACACTGCAAACCTTCATCTCAGAGTCATTACAGTGGACCCAGAAACCTGGAAGACAAAGAAAAATAGAAAGGTTCAAATATGCAACGGAACAGGACTTCATAGGTTGGTCTGAATCAAGTCCAGTCTTTTCCTCACCTCCTTCTGTATTGTAGCAGTATGCGGTGTAGTGCCCTGAGCCGAAGCCTTTCCCATGATGCATAACTACAGCAGACAGATCGTAGGTGTAGCCTCCTCTGTGGACAGAGTGACCTGAGCCTGTGCAGCAGTATGGTTTGATGTTCAGAACTTGGTCAAAGGCCACATGGACGCCGATTTTCTCCCTATGGTTCCGCCCCGACCATCTGCCGTACAAACAGGGACTAGTTAGTGCCACAAAGACTCAAACATCGTGATAAATATTAACGCTCCTGTACTTAAGCACTCTGCTTTCAGCTACAACATACCAAAAATAAAAAACACTGGGTTTATCAAACGGTTATAAAAGCTTATTAAATTAGGAGTAAAGAAATCAGTAGAGAAACTTGCCTGAAGCGTTTGAGGTGCAGCCGTAGAACCTGAGGTAAACGGTAGATCAGAAGCTGCTTACATGCCTCTGACAGAACTAAGGGTTTGTGGGATGATTTCCGTCTTCTTTCTGTCAAACCGTGAAACAATGAGATGGTAAGTTATTCTAGAAATCAATGCAAATGCAAATTATTAATGCAAGGCTTTGTTTTTAGAGCAGAGAGGTGACACACTTTCTTACAATATATCTAGCTTTGCAAACAAATAAAACATTTTGTGTGGCTTCCTCAAAGGCTGCCAGCCTAGTTTTGAAGTCACTGCCTCCTCCTCCAGTGCTGTCAACAGTGGGCTAACGCTCCTCACTCCACCGAGTCACTGTGCTCCGTCCCTGCTCGGCTCAGAGGAGAAGCGTTGGCCCACTACTGCAGGCGCTGCCTCTAAAAATGCAGAATCCTGATCAAGACCATTTTTAACTCTCTCTTAAAACTGAATTTGAAATGACATCTTCAAAATAATTTCAATACAAATCCCAGTTCTGTTTATACATTTATTTTTTTTAAAAGTCAGTCATAACATAAAATTGCTGTGTGCACTAAAGTACAATTTTTTTGTATGTGGAACAGAACATTATTAAGAAAGGCATTTGTCAGAAATAATTTTTTATAAAATTTGTATGTTACACTAAATGAGAAAAAAAAAATTCTCATTTTAAAATCTAATGTATTTATGTTAAATTGTGGGCTGGCATCCCAAATTAACTTTGATCCAACACCAAAACCCGCTGACTTTGCTTTTCGTCGTATTAAACATTGTACTAACTGTTGCAGTGGTTGCAGGCATAGATGCTGCCTTCAAGAGCCTCCATCTCCGTAAACTTGGACAGCATCTCTGTGAGGGTGCAGCTGCGCTGGTAAGCTGTGGAGCCTGAGCCTTTGCCTATGCTGTGGTATCGCTCTGGAAACTCCAAAGACAAATCCCAGAATGGCTCAACTGTGTTAGACTTGTGCTTACAGGACAGACACGTCACCTAAAAAATACACAGCGAGAAAAGAAGAGGAGAAAACGGGTGAGGACTGAGGTCGTATTTATGTTTGTTGATGACACCATATCTAATTAAGTGGATCTCTAAAGACAATACAATGAGATCAAAACTAGCATCACAAAAACATCACTTTTTTTCTAAATGTAACTTATCCAAATATCAAAAATTATAAACAGTTAATTATTGTTGTATGGACGGAGAAAATCAATAGCCAAGGTATTTCTGTGTAACAGACTGTTTGGTAACCACACAGCTTTGTATTAAGGATGCAGCATCCTGAACGTCTATAGTTTGAGTGACATTAAAAATTAAGAACAAACGACTGTTACAATACAGTACAATCAGATCTCATTATATAGAAGAGTCATTGTGTATTCTTCTCAATCTCTTCCTCAATCTTTCACTGTTACGAGTTTAAAGGCAGGTTTTAAAGGGAACCTGGATGTAGATGAGGAAAGCAAGAAAAGCCACAACGGGTCAGTTAGGGCAAACGTATAAGGCTGTACAGGTCTCCAGTTTTTATTATCACAATAACAATCCTTATCTGCATTTTTTGTGAAATACATGCATGTACTGTATATCCAACCCTGAATATTTGGGCCATTATAATCACACTATAAATGTGTATGTTCTCACCTGGCTGAGTAGCTGCCCATGAAAGATGGTGTTAAGAACCTTTAGCACTTGCTTGGATAGTTTCCTCTTTGTGATGGGGATAACTATCCTGCGTTTGGACCCCTCTGTGTCCAGCTCCTGCTGCACCTTGTCCAGCAGCTCACACAAGAACTCCTGGGCGTCCTGCTGGTCGTACCCACGGAAAGCTGGAATGAGGTTCCACACAGAGTGCAGCATGGCGAAAGGAGACACTAAAGACCACCGGCCTGACCACATGACCCTGAAAAGTGTATGCAACTCATGGCACAGAGACATCTGCTGGCGGGTGGAGCACCGAGGCTCCTTGGGCTGGACCAACTCCGCAGCCTGTGGGGAAGGAGGGGTACTTTCTTTTTTGCCCGTGGACAAATTCCAACTGCCTGCCTTCCCCATGCGTCCAAGAGGGCACCCTGACAGTGCTGTGTTACCACTGCTGACTACACCTCCTGTCACACCCTTCATGCCCTGGGAGTTATTGGTCTTGGCCAACAGCTCCTCAGTCTCACACAGGTCCAAAGTGAGAAAACACTCCCTGAATTTCTGCAGGTGGCTCAGCACTTGCAATATTGAGTTCATGTAGCATGTGTTCCCCAAATTGCGCAGACCAGTGACACCTGGAGCAAGTCTCCGGCGGGTTACCGTGTGTGTGGAGTAGTATCTCCTCAGTTTGGCAGCTCTGCCATTCTGAGGAGCCTTTCGGGAGAGGGTTAGAAGGGAAGGCTTCTTGGGAGGAGGAGGTAGGCGTTCTGGAGGGTCGCGAAATTTGCGAGGAATGAGTGTGATGGTTGAACGTGGCGCCTGAGTAAGAAGCCTAGCACTCTTTCTGGGAGGGACGCTGCCAAGCTCTTCCATGAGTCTCCTTTTCACTTCTTTTTTTTGTCTTCTAGCTTCCTCAAGTTTCTCCTTACGTTGATCCTGCAGCTCCTGATGTTTGCTGATCCACATCTGAAGCATCTTCCCTAGAAGAGCTTTCCTCCTGTGACGCAGGGCCAGCTGCATGGCAGGCTGTGGCCCACCTTCCCCAAGCCAGGGGGTGGACTCCCCACCAGTTGAGGAGCGTAGTGAGCGTCTACCCGGGCTGCGGACAGTAGAGAGCGCCCCTCTGAGGAGTTTGAGGTCTCCCTCCGCGTTATCATTGAGTACATAGTCTCCACAGGCGAAACAGAAGACATCCAGCTCACGCACCTCCATAGCCAGTGGGTGGTGTGACTCCTGAAAGTGTTTGAGTGAGTGCTCCTCCATGAAATGTCCACAGGCCACATGGGAGCACTTGAGGCAAGCCCACACAGAATCGGTGGTGCTGCAGTCGACACAGTGCCATTTTTGTGGATTTAGGATGGAATGGTCGTGGCCCAGACGAAGGCGTCCCACGTGCTTACAACGATCCATCTCTCCTGATACACATGTGGCCTCAGTGATAGGACACACGTCCTGTAACCAAGCTGCAACTCATTCTGAGGTAAGAAACACATGGGGAAAAAAACAAAGATTAACACCTGACCATTATAATCCAGTGAAAGGAGTGATACACAAATGCTATGCTAATGGTGTGCACTAGCACCAGTATTCTTATCAGTGAGTATACACACACTATGATGTATAGAAAGTGACAAAATTAAAATGTATACTTACTGTAAAAGTAGTTTGCTTGATCAGGATTTGGACAATACATCACAACATCTGTAGAGAACTCAACAGCACTGTTCAGCTTGATCACCCATGTCCGCTGTCACCACCGAAACCAACAGGAACAATCTGAGAAACAGGGATGATGTCCAATTAATAACGCAAAGCTGCATCAGGACGGTGGTCAGTTACACAAAAGCTGTTTCAATTAAATAATGACACAATGCACCAAAACTAGGAACATCAAAATAACAATTTACAAACATTACGAAGTGCTGCTCACCAAAAAACTACATATGTCTCCAATTCAAGTATATCCAGCATTTAGGAAATCCCCCAAACATGCACTTTGATTGGCCATATCCACCAGTGTGGATCTAATATTAAAGAGCCTTTACAATAGTAAAAATAAATGCAGAACATCTGTCAAAATTTCACTTTTGAAAATGTACTGTTAACAAAGTACTTTTAATAATTAATTAAATCAATACCGGCCCCTGAAAACTGAATGTGACTGAAAACTCCTGAACACAAAAGGGTGTCTCTGTCTGATTGTTTAAAAACCACTTGATGAATGTGAGACAATTCATTAAACACCTTTCTTCTCTGAAGTGCTGAGCTAAGGATATACAAATTAACTTGACATTAGATAAATTAAATAGTACAAATCACTGACAACCATTGGAACAACATTTGTTATGGTGCATACATGGGCTGATAACGATCATATCTGACACTGAACATATGTCTAACTGAAGCACAATAAAGGGTGCTGATTTCTATTGAGACAACATTAAAGCTCCTAACTTAACAAGCAGACACACTGATGAAGGACAATGTCTGTCTGTCCATTTAAATTGAGACTAATCCATGTAATTGTCTACCTCACCAGCACCAGCGCTGTGCTACACGATTATTCTTGCGTATTTGTTTCCCCTCTTTGTTTAAATCCACTACTTTCTAAACTAATAAAGAAAGAAAGAAAGAAAGAAAATGAATGAAAAAGACACCATTAAGTTGCAAGTGGGTGCAACATGTCTCTAGTTAACTTGCACACCCAGGTCGTGCTATGTGTTGTTGCCGCTTATTGCAGGAGACTCTATTAACGCATGTGGCGTTGATATCCACAAATGTTACAATAATGTGTGTGTGTGTGTGTGTGTGTGTCCGTGTTTTAAAGCCTGTTACTGGGACCAGCACTGACTGGCTCTTGACGCCAGTGCTAAGCTACCCCACCATCACCATGTTGAGCCAGAACAAAGAGCAGTCAGTGAGCCACTCTCCAGGAACATCCAACAACTTTGTTGCTCTTAGACAACCCTGCGAGCAATAAGTTAGCTAACGCCGCTAAGCGCTAGCTACGGCGGCTGTGCACGGGATTAGCGTCGCCTAGCCTTTCCGCTGTTATAACAATTAATGCACTTTGTTAAACACAGACGACTCGCTTGGCATCACACAGCTAACATTTATGTTATTAGCTCGCTGTAGTGGCTAGCGTTAGCTCCACGGCTAGCGCGTTTGACTGAGGACAATCGGAGTGAACCCGTCGGCTAGCATTAACTAACTATTAACACTGTACAGTTAGCTCGCTAGCCGACTGCGCCGTTAACCGTTGAAGGAAAAACTCCCCGCAGACTTTCCTCACAGAAAGCCGGTTAACGGAGGTCCACGTTTAACGCCGGGCCTCCTCCGGGCTCCGTACTACATTTGTAACATCCGATTAATGGAAAATCTGGGTAACGTTACCATCGCCAACATCCATCCATCCGGTACACTCAAGAGCTGGTTGTTGTCCTCCTTCACAGATTGAACAACCCAACTCTCGATCCGAGCCCAGACCCTGCTGCTCTCATTGGACTGGGACTGAGCGGCAGCCCGGCTCTCATTGGAGGAATGGCTGAACAACAGGCAGCAGGGTGGACCGTCCGTCCGTCCACCCACCGAGGCCACATGGAACAATAACCGAGGCGAGACTGAAAACCCGGGCGGAGAGGACGACTGACCCCCCCCTGTGTCCCCGAAAGCCCCGGGTCCGCCATGTGTCAGCTGGTCGGTGGTAATGTAATAAAAAGCATTTGTGTATGTGCGGCTCCTCTTTGAGCTCTGTGTTAGCTGAATGTGGTAGTGGAGCCTCTATCACTGCAAATGATTGGGATTCAAGTTAACTAAGTGAAGTAGTAATCCAGCACAAGGCTTGTAAAAAAATGTATGTTTATGTCTGTCACCTTTCCCACAATTTATGTAGTGTTTTATATTTTGATAAAATGTGTATATAAACCCATTATTCATTATTCATTCAGTACTCTGTAGAAAAACACCATGTAAGTCCTCTAGTGTCAGCCTCTTTTTTCATTCATACTTTCTTCTCTGCAAACTGTAGCACCAACAATACACTGGTTTTAAATTACATTAGTAGATAATTATTAGTGATGCATTATAAAAAGGCCCCTGCTACATCCATGAAACCATCCCCACAGGTGACATCTTCTCGGGACTATGTGGGCGTGCACAGACTAGGTTTGATTGACATCTTCATTCTTCCTCAGGGAAGACATTTTGACACATCACAGTAGGAAAATCAGAGGTGTAAACAATACAATTACTGATGCATGACTTCCATTTAGTCATTGTCATGGTTTACTGGGCCATTGGTTTTCCTGCTCTGACGAGTAAATAATACCTGCTGTGGTGGTGGATGCTGATGATGTGAGTGTGTAATTTAAACTGAACAAACACCTTATTCATATTACCTGTTTTTATTGCTACTGAGACCAGCAGGTCTCTGCCCAGATGCACAGAGAGATATCTTTGTGCGTACTTCAATAGGGGTTATTAACTAATTAAACATAAGTCACCGCCTATTACAGGAACTCTAAAGATAAACCAATAGAAAGACTGTTTTTACTATCAGATAAAAATGTCTCTAGAGAGGGTTACAACCCCACCAACAGGACATTTGAAGTATGCATGTGTGATTATAAAAGGATCATTGTGGTCAGAAACACACACTCAGACTTGTGTTCTCCTTTAAGTCTTTAATACAAGATGTTTTCATGAAACGGGAACATGTAATGCAATGTCGAGGCTCCAGAAAATGGAACTTCCGGCTTTTAAAAATGCCTGGATACCACGCTGATCCACAGGACCAGAATTTTAGTAACATTAATACAAACATAAAAAAATAGATCTCTCCCTCGCCGCCGACATCTCAACGCACGTTACTTCCAGGGGCCTGCAGTTTACGAAGTTTGTTGAACAGCTCCAGGTACTGAGTCATGGTGTCAACGCAGTCCGCTGGTGCGAAGAGTCCTTCGGGCTTGGCGGCAAACACAGAGGGCAGTTCGGGAACGCTGGAGCCAAGAAAGGACTGCATGAACTCCTTAATGAGATTCCAGCAGTCCCCTGGAACCACACAGGGACAGTACTCAACCTGAGGAACCCAACAGAGAGTTAATGCACGCACAGTGGGAAAATATAAATGTGATGATAACACACTCGTTGTATTCATGTACATACCTCTACTGATATCCCTCTGGCACTGGAGCTCATTGTAACTGTACCGACTTTTATCAAGAAGTCACAGTAGCGGTATCGAGAACCTCGGCACTCCACCTTGTGGCCTTTGGCATTTTGGAAGTGACTTTTTAACTTCACCATAAGAACGTCAAAGTTTGCGTCGGCTATCAGGCAGGGTCCGCCTTCAAACAGAGCCATGCAGCTCAGGGGAGTTTCAGAGTTGTGCATCACGTATAAGAGCTTTGAGGGCTGACCTGTAACAGAAGGACCAGACAGAACGTCAGACGTGTCAAGTAGTTTATTCACTCAAGTGTTGTACTTATGCATGAGTATTTTATATTTTTAGTTTTTGAACATAATAAAGTCTTCAGAGTCAATCGGTGATCAAACATTTAATCCTGTTTCTTTCCTTGTTATTAAAGTTAAAATATTTGATTCCTCCTTTTTGCTGGGGACCTCCTACAAACAACTCAAGGACCCCTGTTGGTCCCTAGACCGCAGTTTGAAAACCACTGATTTACAGGATAAGGCTGACTTTTACATGCAAAAATACAAAACTATTATAGGATGATGAATAACCAGCAGCATAATTGAGTATATAGCACATATCTATATACACAATCCACACTCATATACTGTCAGTTACATTCATGAATGCCCGATATCTGCATTTAAGATTATTTCATTTTGGTATTAAATTCTAGTCCCTCATTCATTTTAAACACGAGGAGTCACTTGTCACCCAACTTTATGCAAGTGCAATACTTAACTGCATGAATATCTCTCATAATTACAATTATGGTGAGAGTGATGTCACTGTAATGTGAAGATAACCTGTCTAATGATGTTCTAGGACAGTGGTTCCCAACCAGGGGGTCGGGACCTCCAGTGGGCCAACGCTTCATTGGAGGATCGCGAGGCCTTCTTGATTTTAAGGCGTGCTAGAACACTTTATAAATATACACAGTAGACCTATATCTCAGAATGTGGCTCCCTTTTGCAAAGAAAAGTAAATAGAACAACGGCAAAGCGCCAGGGACAAGACAACACTGTGTCAAAAAAGAAGAAGTCTATTAAGTATGTATGACTGTTGTAAATTATTTAAAAAATACACAATACAAACAGAAACAATATGACCAAAATGTATCCAAATCACTCATTTTACATAAACTTCTTGCAGAGTGCACTATTTGGGTTCATCATAGAGTTTTGAAAACAGTATTAAATATCTACTGTTCTAGGACAACCTATGATTTGCTATGAGTATACTCAAAGAAGAAGAAGTAAAGACTTAAACGTTACCGCTGACATTTCCTGTTGCATGGTATGTCTCACAGTCTACACAGAAGCTGCCCTGTTTCACAGCACCCAGCTGCTCCAGTTTCTTGTGCACGATATCCACTGTCTGCTGCACGCTCTTCCCCTCAGTCACAGGCACATGGCACACACTGCAGGACACACACACACACACACACACACACACACACACACACACACACACACACACACACACACACACACAATGATGTAGGTGAGGCCTGAGAATAAGTAACATATGCGCTTTGTTTGTTGTTTGTTGTTGTTTGTTAAGAGCTGCTCCGTGTTGTGCTCCGTGTGAATGAAACCGAGTGATACAAAGATGTGTGTGTGACGGTTGAGATGAAACTGTACGTTCATGAACTAAATAATGTTCCAGATATTATCTACACTTTAAATATAGCCCAAACTATAAAGTAATTATCTCACCAAGTGACCCCCATTGATGCTTCGCCTCCAATTGTTTTCTTGGCTGTCCGTTGAGTACTTCCGGGTTAAAGGTGAGTCTTCCGGTAAAGTTAAATCAAAGTATTTCAGATTTTAAAAAGCCAAGAGACATTTTCTTTAACAATTCACGATGTAAGATATTTATATATATATATAGTCGATAATAATACAGGTTAGTGCCAACAAACACAGCTAACGTTACAATCACACCCTCTTACAATTTACGTCACTTCCTCCTGCTGTGGACGGCCGCACGTGTTGAACGAGCGACTGTTTACAGTTAATTTCTGACTTTAGGTTGCGCGTGCCGGCAAAAAATATACAAAACATTGTAACTACGTCTTCTGTCTCACCGCAGTGATGCCGAAGGTGAAGAAATCCAGAGGCGGAGGAGGAGAGAAGAGCGGAGCGGTGGTGGTGGCACTGGCTGACCAGATCCTACAGGCGGACACAGTGCGAGGCCGAGGCCGGGCGAAGAGCAGGGACAGTCGGCCTGAAGACGACGACACGTACGTAGACGAGCGTCTGTCGCGGAAGATCTTACAACAGGCCCGAATTCAACAAGAGGAGCTTCAGACTGAATATGGGCTGGCACCAGAGACGAAGAAAGCACCTGTCACTGTTCTCGGTAATGTTTTACTTTTATAAGTTATGTTTTACAGTAGAAATTGATATTTATTTGAATAGAGTCTGGTGTGACAGTGACTGTAAGTGTCCATTATGGCGCACTTACTGAGGCTTTACTTCATGGGAAAGTCCACATCCTTACATGTTTGCCATTAATTATGCTGTACTTATTAAACATGATAATAATATGTGGAAGTGATGAAGGAGACATAAAAGTAATACATACAATTACAAATCACACCCATCTATTGTACATGTAGAATATGTGTAATAGTGTAAAGCTCCTTCAGATGGTTCTGAACTCAATGAGGGAACATTATTTGACTATGAAGTGTAGATATAAACATTACAGAGTAAATGTAATCTAATTGATCATCTTTAACTTCATATTTTAGGGCCTGATGCTCAGGATGCAGACTCAGACGAGGAGTGGCCGGCGCTGGGAGAGGCTGGTGCTGGTGACGGCGATGCTGAGTGTGAGACTGAAGTTGTTGTTGACGCTGACGATGAGAAGGCCATTGAGATGTTCATGAATAAAAACCCTCCAATGAGGCAAGATGCAACATAAACACTGATATTATCTTGTAACTAGACATTGAATTTAAATGACACACACCATTAGCATGATTTATCTAAGCTTGTGTTTGTGTTCATGCAGACGCACTTTAGCTGATATCATCATGGAGAAGATTACAGAGAAGCAGACTGAGGTGGGAACCGTGATGTCGGAGGTGTCAGGGTGTCCAATGCCCCAGCTGGACCCGAGGGTAACAGAAGTGTACAAAGGTGTCAGTAAGGTGAGTTACTTCACACACCGGCCTACAGTACATACAGACAGGTGATTAATACGAGTGAAGAAAAATGATGAACACAGTTTCGAATAGAGGGAACCAATAGTAATTGAATGGTTTGATGGGTATGAAGAATAGTGTTCTTCCCTCCAGTAGTTTCAGAGACTTGTATTTGTGTTCTCGAGGCCAGAAACCTTAATATGACACTTATCTTGCAGTTTGTTTCCATGTGTAGATGGTTCATGTGAATTTTCTTCACCAACCTGTCTCACACAGTTCCTATAAAAAGTATTGACTCTTAAAAATGGAATATAATATTCATAAGTATGTGTTTATTATAATAGTTGGGATTTTGTTACTTTAGAATGAGATTAGTTATTATCTACAGAGGTAGCGGGTCCTCTTTCACAGAGATTGTAAACAATTTTATTATTGTGCAAACTGCAATGCAGTAAAAAAGACGTAATAAAAAATATGTGAAAAACTTCAACATTGCTTCTTTTTTTAAAGTAGCCTTGTAGTATTATAAAATAGTTTTATAAACACTATAAACTTTTCTATTGCAGAAGTAAGAAACAAATGAGTTCCAGCAGTTGTTTCCTGTTCACTGGTATATGAAAATCATTCAGGAAACTAAAACAGTATACCGGTTCATCCAGTACATCGCCCTCCGCTGTGCATGTGTGAGTGTGGTCAGGGTGTTCTACAAAAGAGAGCCGGACTCTTAAGTATCATGTATCTGTAAGGTCTAACTGTTGTTTGGTCAGTTTAGTCACAAAGGAACACAAATAACTACTGTTTGTTGTTAGTGTGTGTTTTGCACAAATCAATGAACCCACAGCCCGTCTCTTGAAGAGGTCTCATTAAGAGGAGCTGTGGAGTACCTGAACAAATCTTAAGTGTCCATTTAGTGTCTGACTGTTAATGTGAAAATCTCCTAGAGATCCATTAAGTAATACTTATTAATAATTTCTGTCTTTTGCTTCAGGTTCTCTCAAGATATCGCAGCGGTAAATTACCAAAGGCTTTTAAAATAGTCCCAGCGCTTTCAAACTGGGAGCAGATTCTCTATTTGACGGAGCCTGAGACCTGGACTGCAGCTGCCATGTACCAAGCAACAAGGTGAGTCCCCCAGGTGCCCTGGGTATTGCTTTATAAAGTTATACAAACTTAGCACAAAAAGTAAGGAAATTTGTGTTTGGTAGATTATTTCTCTGTGGTAACAATGCTTTTTGGCAATAAATCTTATACCGTTGGAAAGCCTGTTTAGTTCCCTTTCAAATGGTGCCCCATTGGCAGCACTGCAAACTGAAGGCCAAGTTCCATATAACGGGGGATGTCAAAGACAGGCCGCGAAGTGGGCGTCCCAAGAAGAAGCTGTCTTCTACAGATATGCAGTCAAGGTTTGCAGGACGATATGGCCGACGGCTCTCTGCCCAGACAATCCGGAACAGACTACACGCAGCCAATCTCCGGTCTCATAGGGCTGCCAGGAGTCCTGCCATTACTGCCCTTCACCGTCAGGCCCGTTTGCGCTGGTGTCGGCAACACGTGCACTGGAACCTGAACGTGTGGAGGAACGTTATGTTCAGTGATGAGTCCAGATTCTGCCTACGGCAGTTGGATTGCAGGGTCAGAGTGTGGAGAAGACGTGGAAAACACTATGCTGATTGCTGCACTGATAGAATAACATCTTTTGGTGGAGGCAGTGTGATGGTGTGGGGCTGCATCTCCCTCACTGGAAAAACGAGGCTTGTCATCATTGGAGGCAATCTCAATGCAGAGAGATATAGAGATGAGATTCTGCAACCAGTGGCAATCCCATATCTCCACAGTCTGGGACCGAACTCTATCCTCGAAGATTACAACGCTCGCCCCCACAGGGCGGGGTTTATCAGAGACTACCTCCAGAATGTGGGAGTGGAGAGGATGGAATGGCCTGCCAGCAGTCCTGACCTCAACCCCATTGAACACTTGTGGGATCAGCTTGGGCGTGCTGTTCGTGCCAGAGTGACCAACACAACCACGTTGGCTGACTTGCGACAAATGCTGGTTGAAGAATGGGATGCCATCCCACAGCAGTGTGTGACCAGGCTGGTGACCAGCATGAGGAGGAGGCTGTTGTGGCTGTGTATGGTTCTTCCACATGCTACTGAGGCTCCCGTTTGTGAAATGACGGTATAAGATTTATTGCCAAAAAGCATTGTTATCACAGAGAAATAATCAACGAAACACAAATTTCCTTACTTTTTGTTCTAAGTTTAGTTTAAGAGTTATCATACTTACTGCATGGACTTCAACACAGTACAATTAGGTGTTTTTTCTATGCTTTTGTTGTAGAATCTTCTCCTCTAACCTGAAAGAGCGAATGGCCCAGCGGTTTTACAACTTGGTGCTGCTGCCCCGAGTGCGGGATGATATCGCAGAGTACAAGCGACTCAACTTTCATCTCTACAGTGCTCTGAAGAAGGCCTTGTTCAAACCAGGAGCGTGGTTTAAAGGTGAGACAGAAAGGATGTTTAGCTTTCTTTTTTAAGATGGAGGAGATTGATGTTCTAGCTGCAAGGATTAGTGGAGTTATTGATTAGTTCAATGAGCTGAAAATGTATCAACAGGGATTTTAATCATTGTTTAATCATTTAAGTAATTTTTTTTAAACACAAAATGCCCCCTAATTGGATGGATGGATGGATGTACTTTACTGATCCCACGTTATGAAATTATATTGTCATGCAGACATTACACAGGAACAAATATAAATTTCAACACTACAAAAGAGAAATATATATTAAAAGAAAATAAACTCAACAAATAATTAAAATCACAAAAACCTTGGTATATAACATAATAAGATAGACAGTATACATCTATAGAATATCTATTATAATAGACAATATGAAGAATATACTAGAGTAAGATAAAAATTATATACTCATGTATGCTAAAGAGTAACTTATTTACACAGTGTACTTTGTTTATGTTTGTATCTTAGTTTACAATGAGCTGGATACAGGATATGTTTTTAGCATCAGAGTGCAAATTCTGACTACGTCCACATAGATTCTTCATTAGCAGTGATCTGAAAGTGGATGAATAGTGAGGTGACTGCAGTTCAGGCTGCCCTTTAACATTACTAGGGGTCATTTGAGTCATTATTAATGTACATTTGTTGCTCAATGTAAGTTTGCTGAATATTTTTATTTAGTTGTAAAGGACTGAATTTATTAGTGCCACTCATCTAGCTATTCCAAATTGTTTCCACCAGTTAAATGGTAAACAATTTCCACCTCCTCTGTGATGAAGCTGAGAGTAAACTCTAGACAGTGTTAAAATAGTTCCTGATATGCCTTTCAGACCTTTTAAACTGTGTTAACATGTTAGGTATTACTAGCCATTGTTTCATTAAACACCCAGTGAAATCTGGGCTAAGCTCTAGACACATGTGACCCGTGAAACTAAAAACTGGGTGAATGAGTGAATGAAAGAGGATTTGACAGCTTGTTGCAAAGAATAAAATACAAGCTTTCTGGGACGCATCACGTTTCTAATTTGAGCTCTAAATTTAGACGTTGTATTCTGAGAACACTGACAGGATTAGTTGATGTCCACAGGGTTAATAACACCATTGGTTCTGGAAGCACAGTAATTAACACACTCAAATTGAATTGGGTCAAATCTTTCTTCGTGTATCTAGAATTGGTTTTAGCCAATGATTGAGTTTTTTCTTTAATCCTGTCAGTACTGTGTGTTCACTGTCCCAGTTTGATGTGACTGTTCTCCCCAAACATCCTGTGACCCATATTTTGAAAACCAGCAGTATGAGACACCACCACTAAGTGGCAGTGTTGCTCACAAATACACTGTACAGCATACCACATACAATATGAATGAGAGAGCTCTAGTGATTGGTATTTTACATTAATTCTTCCATTGTTGGAGTTCATTTAATCTACTGATTAAATATTTAATTAATGAAACTGATGAAGTGATGGTCAATTATAAGTTATTTAATTGTGCCCCCAAAGGCTCTGTGTTATATCAGTTTTTTTAAGAAATAATGTATATTCATTATGATTTTAGTTTATCATGTGAACAAACATGAAAGCAGACTAGAAACAGAGAACTACCGATCAGCCATAACATTATGATCACTGACTGGTGAGTGACTAAATTGTGATGGCTAGACGACTGGGTCAGAGCATCTCCAGAACTGCAGCTCTTGTGGGGTGTTCCCGGTCTGCAGTGGTCAGTACCTATCAAAAGTGGTCCAAGGAAGGAAAAGCAGTGAACCAAAGACAGGGTCATGGGTGGCCAAGGATCATTGATGCACATGGGGAGTGAAGGCTGTGTGGTCCGATCCAACAGACGAGCTACTGTAGCTGAAACTGCTGAAAAAGTTCAGCTGGTTCTGATAGAAAGCTGTCAGAACCTTTTTGGCCTGTTTCAATTAAACAAATTCTGCAGGCGTCCCCACAAGCATAAAGTGGTCTTGACTGTGTGCTTAATGAGACCATTTCACTGTAAGCAGAATAGCTGTAGGTATGTAAATTAAGTACCTGTAAAGGGTTATATTAAAAGGCCAGTCTAAAGATTTTAAATGTTAAAGCAAATTTCATATTTGAGTTACTGTAATTACCTCTTTCAGAGTATGACTGGGAAACTGAAAACTAAACATACACTGATTCCTCACATCTGTCAAAGTATGTCGTTAAGTAATTAAACTCAAATGGATTCAGTGTTATATTGTTAATGAGAGTTTTTAACTATCACACGACCAACTCTGTTAATCATACAACCATCCTGACATCTTCTACCATCCATCCCATATTATGTGAACACGTCATAATGGAAAGTGCTCTTTTCATTATTGGAAGTGTTTATCACCGACTCTGCTGCATCCATTTAACACCCCCCCCCGTCTATTGAAGCTTTCCCACTTTATGGAAGTGCAGTGTGCTCTTATATATTCTGTACCTCTTCTGTCACACAGGTATACTGATTCCTCTGTGTGAGTCTGGGACGTGTACTCTCAGGGAAGCCATCATCATCGGAAGCATACTCACAAAGTGCTCGATCCCTGTTCTCCACTCTAGGTAAGATCTCCTTTCATCGCCACACCAGCAGACAGATGTCAACATCTTATCGTTAGGTGGAAGATTCATTCAATTATCCTTGAAAGCTTTGCATTGTGTGTGTGTTTGGGGTTTGGCAAGTTAAAGTAAGGTCAAGGTTGCGTAACCTGGAAGGTTGTATAACATGTACAATCTTTCTTGTCTTTCAGCGCTGCAATGCTGAAGTTGGCAGAGATGGAGTACAACGGCGCCAACAGCATTTTCCTGCGACTCCTGCTCGACAAGAAGTACGCCCTGCCTTTCCGTGTCCTAGATGCCTTGGTGGCCCATTTCCTGTCCTTCCGCAGTGAAAAACGTGTGCTTCCTGTGCTGTGGCATCAGAGCTTACTCACCCTGGCTCAGCGCTACAAAGCTGACCTGGCCTCCGAACAGAAGACTGCACTGCTGGAGCTGCTCAAGATACAAACACACCCTCAGATCTCTGCAGAGATTCGCAGAGAACTGCAGAACTCGGAGTCGAGGGATCTTGAGATTGGGCTCCCTGTTACGGTTGAAATGGACTGAGGACTCAGTCTGGTGTGGCGCATCCTCCTCCTCTGATGCAGATGATTCATGGTTCCTCAGCACGAAGAAAACTTTGTTAAATTTAACTTCATTATTCTTCCTGTCCCATGAAAGGGCTGTTTCAAAGGTCACAGTCTATCAGGAGCCATGGTTCTGTTCCCTACTTGGATGACTTTGCATAGTTAAAGATGCACATCAATAGTGATGTTAATGTTGTATTTTCTTATCATGAATCAGAGCTTTTTTTCCTGCAGTTGCAGTGCCGTGATTGCTCAGGAATATGAAGACTGATGTTTGTGTACATTTGATTAAGAGCAATAACTTGGATTAAAAACTAACTGAATCCTTAACAGTCAGGTTATGTGTGTTTCTTCATTTTATGTTCACAACTGCTGAAGCTTTACACAAGACAGATGGTTGAAAAAAGGTTAACGGCAGGGACTCACTATTTGGTTTTAATTGTAATATGTTCAAATGCAATCTGGTTTACAAAATATTTACTATAACAACCTTGGTATTTTTAAATAGGAAAAACATTCTCTCAGTTCTGTGTTTAATTCAGCAAACAGGCTCATTCATTATTAATTCACTGAAAGCAAACATTTTGAAATTAGTAATAAAGTAATAAATGTGCTCATAAAAAATAAATATTTACCAAATAATCAATACCTAAAACAAAAGGAAGATAAAGTTACTATTAATAAGGGAACACCGCAAACAACTCTTCATAAGACTTTAGCAGTAAAAAGTATGTTAATAAATGACAATATAACTCTTATATAAATACGACTTATTGTTGCCCAGTTTCATTATTAACATATTCCGGTTGCCGCTCTTCAGTAATATATTTTAGTTAACCTCACTGTTTCAGGCGTTTGTATAGGCCAGAGAGCTGAGCCTGCCTCTGTAAGACGACGTTTGTGAAAAGTTTGAGGTTTTTCTGATCGAGCAGTGTGAAAGAAAGTTCTCCAATCTGGTTTTAAAAAGCCCAGTTGAGCCCCTCAAAGGTCTGAAGGACTCCGTGAAACCAGCAGCCGTTAGACGACGGTTGGTTAGCTGGCTGGCTAACGTTAGCTAAACTGACTAACGGCTAACAGAGATAGCTTAACGGTCCGTCGATACTTTAATGATTTATCGAAACCCGTATTGAATGCTACTGTATTTAACTTCGTCGAATGGATTTTTGTGAAGATGGACAGCTTCAAAGTCGATCCACAGATACAAATGGCGGTGAAACATGGCGTGATGTGGTTCTCCGGGCGGGCAGCGACCCTGCCGTGACCCGCGACCCCAGAGCACTGCACAATCTGACGGCCATCGAGAAGAGCTGCCAGGTAGCTCCGTACTTCGGCAGAGTCCAGACAGACATCCAGCCGTACATGCGAAAGATACTGGCGGTGTGGATGTTTCAGGTATGTAAAAGTGAATGTTTATTTCACACAGCTGTTTTATTTACTTAAAATACAACATGTGTCTGTATTTCAGGTGTGCGAGGAGCAGAAATGTGAGGAGGAGGTGTTCCCGCTGGCCGTGTATTACCTGGACTGTTACCTGAGCCGCTTTGCCATCGAAAAGTCCAACCTGCAGCTCCTAGGGGCTGTGTGCATGTTCCTGGCCTCCAAAATGAGAGAGACTGTCCATCTGACTGCCAGCAAGCTTTGTATCTACACAGAAAACTCCATTTCAGTGTCAGATATCCTGGTAACTATTTGATTTTAAATTATATTTGGGATAATAGAAGTGCAGACATTCAGAAAGTGGAGTTCAATGCAGTTTGTCACAGGGAACCACTGTCCCCTCAGATGGCAGATATAGTTTTGTTTTAAATGTCCAGTGTGTAACATTTGGGAGGATTTATTGGTAGAAATGGAATATAATATTAATAAGTATGTTTTTATTAGTGTTTAGTCCCGTTAGAATGATCCATGTTTCTACAGGAGCCCAGAATGGACAAACTATACACTGGCTCTAGATATGGTCTTCCATGATTTCTGCGGCCTCCGTAGTTTCTCTACACGCTCGTAACAGGAAGGTGAGGCGAGTGGGTTGTAATCTGCAACTACGCCACCAGAAACCCCCTAAATCCTACATATTGCTCCTTTTAAGGGTTCATAAGAAAACAAAGATGTACAGATTATTTCTGTATTGTTTAGATGTTTTGATGCAGTGGCATTATGATGGTGGATTGGTTGAGAGGAATGTGTGTGTTACAGCAGTGGGAGGTGGCAGTGGTGTCCAGGTTAGACTGGTGTCTGGCCTCTGTGGTACCCTCGGACTTCCTGGAGCCAATTCTTGACGCTCTCCCCTTTGTTGACCACCACCACCTTCCAAACATGCGCAGGCATGTTCACACCTACATTGCTCTGGCAGCCACTGGTAAGTTACATAACTACCAACACATGAGACTTTTTTATCTTTCTCTTTTTCAAATAAAATACAGCAGTGGATGCAATATTTAAAAAGATGTGTTTCAACAAGTATTTTCTATTGTTCAAGGATTTCTGTGGTTAATTATAAGGCAGTTTTATCATTCCAGTGGACAGTGAACAATGGACACAAAGCAGCCATAACTTTGATTACGATGTGTCAGCAGTTCATTTTGGAGACAGAGAGCTGAGTTTGTGTAATCCTGTATTGTCTGCTGTGAAAGACCTACGTCCGACTATTCAGCTGGCTGATTTCCCACGAATCTCTGTGATGCTGCCCGAGGCAACAGGTCACAGGGATACACTCAGTTAGTGCTGTTTTAGACAGACTATGACATTACAGCCCATCAAATTTAAGAGAATTCCTGGCTCCTGACATTGTATTCCATTCAAAAAAGGTGTCTGAGCATGGATTGAATGGCTGACTTTTTGTCTCAACAATTCTCCTGCCTGAAGCAATTAGGATAGTGTATCAGATTATCAGGTTTTGGGAAATGTCTGCTTTTGAGTGCTTCCTTTTGTCCATCAGGGTGTGTCTACAATGGTGGCGTCTGTCTAATAGTCTACATGTAGCCATTGCTGACTATCACTGTTGCAATAGTCTCTAAGTGAAATATAAGGGGGGAGTTAATTATTAGGAAATACTAGCTATGATTCTTTTTATTTCTAAAATAAGTAATCTTCCTCTCTCATCCTCAGACTGCAGGTTTTCAGGGTTCTTGCCCTCCACTGTTGCATGTGCCTGCGTGAGCATTGCCACGCTGAGGCTTAAGTTAGTGGATCCTGCTGTCGCTTCTGATTCGGTTATGAAGTTTTTGGCCAACCTTTTGGTCATTGATCTGGTGAGGGTAATGTTTAACACTTTTATATAACCTCTCTTTTGACTTTGCCCTACTGTCAACACTGACTGGTGTGTTTGTGATCATTTTACCACCGTGATCAAACTGTTAAATGCGTTTTAAAGAGCAACTCGTGCACATGTAGTATTGGTCAGATCCAAAAGTCTGCCCATGACCAACTGATGAACTTAAGGTTGTTTTTCTTTTACTCTGACCCTGAACAGAGCTCTGTCCTCCACTGCTATGACCTGCTAGGGAGTGTGCTGGAGCTCAGCCTGCCCTCTTGTTTCCCGGCTAGTGTTTGCAGATCAGCAGCACACAGCTCAGAGGTCAGCTACACACCTGCTGACATTCAGGATGTTGTATTGACACCAGCGACATCAAGCTAAAACACTCCTCCCTGCCTGAATGGGTCGGAGTGAATTGTACATTTACAACCAACAAAAAGCCTAAATACCAGGTGAAATGTGTCTAAATGCCATTTCTCCTTAATCTTCAATGTTCTTTGCACGTTAATTGTTTTGGAGATCCATCTGCTAATTCAGTTTGAGAAACTGACAATTGTTTCAAATGTCCATCCTGTTGCTGCTGTTTTAAAGTATTTTGGAATTGCTGAAGCAGCTTTGTAAAGTAGGATATGATTATGCCCTTCATTAGTATTTAGGGCCACATTAACTTTTTTGTGGTATTACCAGTTAAATTGCACTGAATCCTGTTAGCAGTGTTTGCACATTTTAAATGTATTATCTTCTATAGACATGTATTCATATATTTTGCATTTATTGTCAATGTAATATTAACTTTATATCTGGACAGTTCTGATAGGCTTTAATAGATATTTCTGCACAGCACTGAAATCCCTTGTGACTATATAAATCCTTACCGTTAAACTATGACATAAAACATTTGTATGTAGGTCAGTAACAACATGAGTCAGCAGTTCTTTGTAGTTTTTTTTTATTGATTTTCCTCATCCCACACATAAATGACAAGCCAGTAACTTTGGAAAACATGTTTTTTGTTGTGGTTAAAAGAAAAAAAGATATTAATAGAGCCTCCTTGTCTTCTGGGAAAACAGTGACGAAATGCCCAAATGCACTTAAAAAAAATGAAACAGATACCATTTTAGACTTGTCATTGCATTTTCCCCTCTGTCGCACTTCAGTAATAAATGATGAGTTTATGACACATTAGAAATGACAAGAACTTCCAGTTGAAATGAGAGATTTCTCCTCAAAGTGTGCCAAACTAAAATACAGTTTTTACATTCCAGTTTCTGAATAACATGGTTTTGCAGCTTCCTGGTGCAACTGCCTTGTGCAACGTTTGTTACAAGAACCTCAATACTTACATGACAGCTGATAAATAAGTTGTATGGTTATCAGGTTTTGATGGTCTGATAAAGTGTTATTACGGGCACCGGCTTGATGTTCTAATTTAATGCCAAGCATGCCAATCCAATTAAGTAACTCGAGTGTGCAGCAGGAAATTTCATACAGAACTCAACATACTGATGTACTCTTCTCTTTCACCAGGAGGTATTTCATAAAGCAGGATTAGGAATTAAAGGAATCTGATAACTACAAAAAGTGATGGAATATTTTGCCAGACTTAAAAGCATAACAGCATAATTCATATATATAAGTCTATAAGTTCTGTTTAACCGTTTGAGTCTCCACGATGCAACATTTTTAACAGTTAAAATGACTAAACATCTAATCCAGCTTTGTGAAATACTGTACCACCCCAGGTGTCTGGATATTTTAAATTAAAATGCAAAGTTCAATACACCTGAGCTCCATGACTGATCTTGAAAATTCAGTTGAAAGGTTACACATTAAGTGTGCGCCACATTATACAACAGCATAGAACAGTTAGGCTGGGGCTCATGGTTCAAAACACACACACAGTACTGTTCTTCAAAAAAAAAACAACTATGACTTAATGAGCTGCACCTTCGTGTGAAACTGCCACCTGCATACACAGAGTGATTGGCCATCTGCGCACTGGTATTACTGTAGGCTTGGAAGCAAAAGCAGGTTGTACTGGTTTTGCTGGATGTGAGTCATGATTATGATTCAAGTA